CTTTGCATCCATTCCAATGACTTTGGGGTCATCTCAGTGCCTTTGGGATCATCTCAATGGCTTTGGGGTTGATCTTGGGGTCGTCTCAGTGGATTTGGGGTCATTTCAGTGCCTTTGGGGTCATTTTTGGTGCCGTCTCCCCTCCCTTCTCTCCATCTTTATGACTTTGGGGTCGTTTTTGGGGCCGTCTCCCCTCCTTCCTCTCCACCTTTATGACCCTGGGGTCGTTTTGGGGGCCATCTCAATGCCTTTGCATCCATTCCAATGACTTTGGGGTCATCTCAGTGCCTTTGGGATCATCTCAATGGCTTTGGGGTTGATCTTGGTGTCATCTCAGTGGCTTTGGGGTCATTTCAGTTCCTTTGGGGTCATTTTTGGGGCCGTCTCCCCTCCCTTCTCTCCGTCTTTATGACCCTGGGGTTGTTTTTGGGGGCCGTCTCAATGCCTTTGCATTTATTCCAATGACTTTGTGGTCATTTCAGTGGCTTTGGGGTTGATCTTGGGGTCACTTCAGTGCCTTTGGGTCCATCCCAGTGCCTTTGGGGTCGTTTTGGGGCCGTCTCCCCTCCTTTCTCTCCACCTTTATGACCCTGGGGTCATTTTTGGGGCCGTCTCCCCTCCTTTCTCTCCACCTTTATGACCCTGGGGTCATTTTTGGGGCCGTCTCCCCTCCTTTCTCTCCACCTTTATGACCCTGGGGTCATTTTTGGGGCCGTCTCCCCTCCTTTCTCTCCATCTTTATGACTTTGGGGTCATTTTTGGGGCCGTCTCCCCTCCTTTCTCTCCGTCTTTATGACTTTGGGGTCATTTTTGGGGCCGTCTCCCCTCCCTTCTCTCCACCTTTCTGACCCTGGGGTCGTTTTTGGGGCCCACGTCGCAGCTGGACGAGTTCTACGTGGGTCAGATCCCCCTGAAAGAAGTGACCTTCGCCCGCCTCAACGACAACGTCCGCGAGCCCTTTTTAGCCGAAATGTGCCGCAAATACGGCGAGGTGGAAGAGGTGGAGATCCTCCATCACCCCAAAACCCGGAAACACCTCGGCTTGGCCCGCGTCCTCTTCACCAGCACCCGCGGCGCCAAGGAAACGGTGAAGCACCTCCACAACACGCCGGTGATGGGCAACGTCATCCACGTCCAGCTGGATATCAAAGGTCAGCTCCTCCCTTTCCTTCTCTCCTTGGGGTTTTTTTTTATGGGCTGGGGGGTCTCTGGAGGTCGCAGACCCCAAAACTTGTTGGATTTCCCCTGTAGGGCAGCAGAGGATGAAGTATTACGAGCTGATCGTCAACGGCGCCTACACGCCCCAAACCGTGCCCACCGGGGGCAAGGCAGCGGGGGACAAGGCCGAGGCGGTATGGGGCGCAGGGGAGACCAAGTGGGGCTTTTGGG